CACCATATAATAATGAAGATATGTTTGTGAAACACTGATGTCCCAGTATGGAAGCCTATGGCGAAGGTTGAAGTTTCTCAAATATATGTCAAAATCAAAGGTCAAAGGGTTCAAATTGTTAGTATCAGAAGAAAGTCTTGTCACAAGGAATGCACATGTGAAATAAAGAAATCCCTAGTAATTCCTGTTCAAAAGTTAATTGCCAAGGTTAATTTTTTTGGTTTAAGTGGTTCAAACTCTAGGGTCAAGGTCAAACATATTTATACCTGTTGACAGTTCACAATGAATACAATATGTCATGATAAGTATGAAAGCCCTAGCACCTACTGATCAAAATTTAGGCAGAGTTTAAAGTTTGGTATTTTTCTTGTAAAAATGTGTATCCCATGTCAAGCGATCAGAGGTAAAAATTAATGGTACCCAAATAAAAGGTCTTATTAAATTGTCACAAGAAATAAACCTATAAAATGTGGAAGCTATTTGTATAGCCCATCCCACTTAAAACTTATGGGCAAGCTAGCTAGGATTTAATTTCTGCAGACTTATACACAGACATACTATAAACACAAGAAACAAAATATGTATAATAATTAGTCAAATGGAAAAAAATATACTATTTAACTGGAATCACAAAATACATTGTTATTTCAGGGACAGGAAGTGGGTAGGAAGATTGGAATCCCCCCCCCATCCCCCCCCATCTGGCATTTGCTTTATTTAAACAAGACTATATACTGTAGCAAGTAAAAAATGACTCTTGAAATCCTCTCCCTATAAACTTAGAAAACATTGACCTCACTATCATTGTTTTTTTAATATTTGTTTATTTGTTTTCATTTTTGTTCTCCTGCTTGTCACGAAATTCTGGGCTGGAATTTTTTGACTAAGATGTGAACCCCCCTCCCTACTCCCGAAAAAAAATTCTGGATCCGCACCAGTATTGGCAGTAACTGAATGTCACATCGACAACGGGAGATAACTTGACAATATGAAATTCGTCTAGTGTGGCATGCGATGATCTTTGACCCTTTTTAAACTTTAACCTAATCGTTTGGGTGTATTTTACCCCCCACTATACTAAAACTTCTACTTACCGACTCCCTGTGTCTCGTCAACTTCATGAAATATAGGCCTAAATCCAATTATAACACAAAATGAATTAATCCAATGCACACCAGACCTCTAGCCATGTGCCATTTTGGCGAACCTTCGTCAGTTCCATCACCTTATCAGATGAAGTGGGTATCGGCCGAGGTGTGCCAAATGGTGTTTAATCTATAAATATGATAATGGGTGACGCAACGTGATGTGATGTAGAAATTTACATGTTCACATGTATAGTACAAGAACAAATTTTAAATTAATTCGTAACAAACGATATTAAATTTTAACAAACCTTTTCCATCTAGCCTATTCCCAAAAGTATGTGCTGTGTGATTGTGGTATCGAGGGGGGTGGGGTAGTAAATTTAAAAAGGTCCTATTATGAGCAAAACATATATCAAAATCTAATTTCAGACGCGGATCCAGAAATTTTTTCCGGGGGGGGGGGGTCCACCTCAGTCAAAAAAAAAATCCTATCCCAGAAATTGATAATCAAAAAAAAAAAAAACGTAAAGTAAATCTCACCCAAACATCAAAAACCTTTATCGTGGGGGTGGGGTGGGGGTAGTGGTGACTTCTATTGCCGCAAATGTTTAACTTTTCATACCTATTTTACACATATTCGTGTTTACCAGGGGGGGATCTGCATTTTCCAAGGGGGTCCATTGTAACTTTTTCCTTGTTTTAGTATATACATTTTTTAACCTTATAAATTCCAGGGGGGGGGGGGGTCCTGACAGATCCGTGCATGAATTTACATCATTAATAAAATTCAGACTGGTATATAATGAACTAAGCATGTATAAAATAAATATAAGAGGTTCTGAGTTATAGGTCACTGGGTCTGAGAATTTCATACTCAATTTGATGAATACATGTAAATTATAGAATTATTTTGACCATTTCTGTGGAAAGCCGCCCAATATGTAGGAGCGTGTATTTAGAGGCAAACACCTTAGTGCGGGTATTACTGTCTCATGACAGCATCTAGTTTCCATTTATATCCATTTAATCCATTTAATGCAGGATTTGAGCAATCTGTCACCTTTCAGAAATCAATTTACTCGTGATGACCGATTGAAAAACAATTATTTTATCTTCTAGATAAACTGTGAAATTTATTTTTATTTGGGCTTTTTTGGTTTGTAGGAAAATTCTTTGTGAGATTGGCTTGACATGTTGCTTTGATACAGGTATTAGATTATTTGTACGATTTAGACTCCTGTTTATTTTGTTTCGGCTTCACCTATTCTGTCTTTCGTTAGAAACTCAATACAGAAAATTAGCTAATTGACTTCATCACCTTTCTGTTCCTTGATAATGTAAGTAATAAGTGTCAAGCCGATCTAAGGAAATTGCCGATCCTGATTGGTCAAGAGTTAAATTCAAAGGTAGTGTCCGGATAGAACAAATTGAACAAATTCACTTTCTATCTGCTGATGACTCTACAGTAAATATTCAACTTTAATCGGCATTGTTTCTCTTTGCAAAATTAGGAGAGCATTGTTATTTTCTTCATTCAAAAGCTAAAGATTATAATTAATTTCATTTTTTTTCATTAAAGTTAATTGAATAATTTTTTTATTTTTTTCTTTAAAGTAATTTAAATATCGGGAATTAGGATAAATTACCAAAATACCTGGTATAAAATTTGACTTGCACTTGACCTTCACATATTTGAACTTTGTTATTAATATATATTTGTTTGTTTCATTTAATGATCAAATAAAGTTTTAATTATATCATTGCATTACTATCATTCATTTCTATCCAAGAAATAATGTATTTGGATTTTTTTAAAATTTAATTTTTAACAGTTTAATTTTTACGGAAGCAAAAAATTCATGCGAAAAAAAGAACCCAGGTTTCATATGAATATCATGCGATGACATGCATATTTTTGTGCCCGAAAAATTTATATTTAACTTTTATTTTTGAGTGCCCAAAACTCAATCCATTAATTCTATCCTTCAAATCCTTGGATTGGAAACACAATTTTTGCTTCTTAGCAGTTCCTGCAAATGATTTTCTCTTGGATAATTCCATGGATTTAATATCTTCTCTTTTTTCTCATTAGTCAATTAATCCAGATACAAGAAATGAATGATTATACAAAAAGTCACTTTCAATTTAAAAGAATCACAAAACTTGTTTCTGGACTTCCTGACTAAGTAAAGACATTTGTGACATCAACTTTTACACTAAAAACTAAAACCATTGATCTTTTTCTATCTTCTTTATTGAGGTTCTCATCACATTAAATTTCTTTATCTTGATTGATTGATTGTTTACTGTTTAACGTCCCTCTCCAGTATATTTCACTGATATCTGGAGACGTCACCATTGCCGGTGAAGGGCTTCAAATTTAGGCCTATGCTCGGCACTTACGGCCTTTGTGCAGGGAGGGATCTTTAACGTGCCACACCTGCTTTGACACTGGGCCTCGGTTTATACGGTTTCATCCGAAGGACCGCCACATTTAGTCGCCTTTTACAATAAGCAAGGGGGTAGTGAGGACCTATTCTAAACAGGATCCCCACGGGGTCTTTATCTTGAAGTTCTGTTGAGGTGGTGTTGTTAGTAAACACTGAAAATACAAATGGTAAACATTCTATAAGGTTATATTAAATTGCAAAATGGACAACAAATTTTCTGATTTAAAATATGCTTTAAATGCCCTTAAGTAGGGTTGATATTTCTTGGCCATGATAAGCTGTATGCCAAGTAAAATAATGTTCTCTTCATACTATCATATGGAAAAGTTGTATTTTTTATTGAAATTTCTATAAATTCTGCAAACTTGACCTTGCCTTATGACCTCTGTTTTGGAAATTGTATACAATTTATCTAATGATAATAATTATCAACGATTAGGACAATATTTTGAGATCTGGAACTTACTTTTACAATTAAGTTATTATGTTATGGCCAAGAATTTAAAATTCAATCCCTGTGACCTTGACACTGCTTACATGAACAGCATACAGAGTCACTTTACTGCCTCTGGTGATAGTAAAGCAGCCTTTTTATTTAGAATATATCTTCATGGAAGTCATCATTATTTCATATTTTAAAAGCATATTTATAGTTCTAATTACCCTCTGTTAGAGTTGGGATATAGTCCTTAAGACCTTTAGTCACAAACAACTTTTGTCTATCTAAATGTTTCCATTATAAAAATGTGATTTAAAACAAGAGGCCCATGGGCCTTACAGGTCACCTGAGTATCATGTAACAACTGTCCAACAATTGAATTGGTTCATGTTTTAAATTAAAGGCCATTAAATAATAAATTTTGATAGAGGCACTATTGCTTATCATACCTATACACTTAGCTTGCTTACTTCTAGTTACTTAATACCCAGAGTTAGATCAAATGTATTTCCACTTTTTAACCAGTTGTGCACTCTACCCCTCAGGAACAACTGACCCTGGGGGCACATATTTCAAAATTGTGGAAATTTTATCAAAAAATTTATTTCAACATAAATGGTTGATTAATACCAAAAAGAAAATTGCAGAGCAGTAATTTATTTTCAGACTATGTAATTCCACTCCAATCCTAAGTACCCTGAGCCAGGGGATCTGAAATTAACCATTTTTGAAAAGGCACCTTTCGTCATCATTAGTATGTACTTAAAACACTGACATAATAACCAGGAGCAAAGGAAAAGGTTTTCGAGGAATTCATGCATTTTCAATTTATAATCATTCATTAGAGCCCTGCCCTAACACCAAAACCCTGAGCTTGAATTTACTCAGGTGACCTAAAATATGAGAATATATTTGTACTCTTTAGACAGGAGTATAGTGACAAATACCTAAGCCAGGGTGTTCAAGATATGCTTCAACAATCATGTCTTGTTGTTCCTTGGTACACGTCTCTGTGTTTCAACAGTTTCCTTTTCAAGTGATCCACCAGTTTCCACCTCCAGACAGTTCTCTGTAATATTGAACTTACGAGTTTATCTTACAAGTTGTATATTGTTAGAGTTTTCCAACAATTCTGAGTGACAGTAACAAATACCTGTGCTAGGCTGTTCAAGATATGCTGTAACAAGGTGTTCATTGTTTTGTGAAACATATTTATGACTGCTTAAACAGGATCCTCTTCAAATGATCTATCAGTTTCCACCTCCAGACTGTTCTCTGTAATATTGAACTCTGATTTAGGTGCGAAAAATTAAATTAAATATGTGCAGCTTAGACATAATTGTTAAAATTAAAGTGTCCAAATTAAAATATTCATACAAATTACTTACATGTATAGTCTTTTGACAAATCAGGATGATTAAGAATTACTCTGGTTCTTAAAGTTTGACCTTGTGATGACATTGTAATTGTGCCTACAGAGAAACTCAAAAATGTCAGTTCAATGTCAGTTCAATAACATTTTGTTCATTATCTCTATAACATTTTATTACACAAGTATTCTATGAATTAAAAAGGTTAACTTTAATTTAAATTAATTTAGCATGAATGCTGATAGTTTTGCTATATATATAATAATCAACACAATTGCTATAAATGTAATAATATAATATTTTCATATACCAATATATACAACTGTACCTCTGCAAGAAATATTTCTCTCTATATACTCTAGATTCTTAATTCTTACCCATTTGCATGTATCATATTCATTTTATAATATTTGAGAAGCTATCAGTGCAATATTATGGAGTACCATCTGTTCATTACTAGCAAATACCTGTAAGTATAGAATACAAATGTACAATATTTACTAAATATTTTTAAAACATAGGACTAAAATAAATATTTGTTTGTTGGCATTCATTGCCTACCGTCCCACAGAAAATGCACCCAACCAAATCTTTTCTAGACATTTCAATAATTTTTTCTCAATAATTTAGGACATTGCAACTGTTTAATTTTCAATTTTTGACTTTGTTATTTAATACCAAGCGGTGATTTTAACAAGAGTGGAGCTTATTCACATTTAGTGGGAAGAAGGTCTATGAAAAGCTCTATTATTTGTTTATATCCAACAAAAATCTGAAAGCAAATTGCCTTCACCTTCCTACCCAGTCTAAGGATTATAGGTTGGCAACTGCTTTTAGCTTAGTCATATTTAGTAACTACAATAAATAAAGAATATAGGCCTACAGTAGTGAGTACTGTACGTGACAACTCATTATAGGGAAGTAACTAGGCTAAGAGTCTTTTCTTGACTTCTAGATAGGCCTATTATATTATGTATTACCATGATTAACTAAGCTTCTTTATATGACAGCATATATTTTTGCATGTACATGTACACAACCTAATGGCTATAACAGTTGATATTAATTTTTAGTAAAGGCAGCTCTTTTCATACATGTAAGAACTTTACCAGGTATATCCTTATATCTACATGTACATTATTTTGTACGTGTTTTCTTCAGTGTTGTGTGATATATGGCTTGCTGTATTTTATATTCCAGGCACTCAGGTGCAACAAGATTTAAAAAAACAAGCTAATTCAGAGAATTCGTGTCCCCCGCTTAGGGAAAAAGTCGGATCCCCCTGACTTAATTTGTAGAATTATTAAATGTATACATATATACTGAAGCAAATAAAATACATGTATGTTAATATGCGTATAAAGATTTGATTGCTTATTCTTTATTATGTGTATAGAAGATTCTTTTGATATGGAATATCTATCACACTGTAATGATTATTTCATAACCTCATAAATTATTCTTTTCACATGCTGAATACTATAATTTAAAAAAAAAAGTAAAAAAAAAAAAATGGATCGCCCGAGAGTCGATCCCGGGACCTCTCACATGTGAAGCGAGAGACATACCACTAGACCACGGAATCGCTATAAATAAAGGCAAGTATATGCAGAAGTCAAGTCACATACATGTATATATTCATGTTCGGTATTGTCAAAATTATACACAATCCATGGTGTTTGATTTATTTAGCCTTTATTAAACAGTTCTAATAGATGTAATAAGAACAAAAAGTCCACCGAGAACCTGTTTTATACGCAATAACTTTCCGCATGCCCCTGTGCTAAAAATAGCGACATGTAATACTATAAATACTAATAAAACAAACGGGGCGGGGCACTTTGAGAGGGGTGAGAGAGGTCCTAGGGAGTTTTAGTATAAAATTACATTGCATAAGCTCAAAATCTTCTTAAATATCGCCCGGAAATGATAGTTTTACACACAGACAGAATGTGTAGATTTACGACCTTTAACTTTGACCTTTTGATCTCAAAATCAATAGGGGTCCTCCTTGGGCCACAGGGAGTTGTTATGTAAAATTTCATTGCAATAACTCAAATGGTTCTAGAGATATCGTGTGGAAACGAAAGTGTTATAACAGACAGAATTTGCTAATTCATGACCTTGACCTTTGACCTTTTGACCTCAAATCAATAGGGGTCTTCCTTAGGCCACAGGGAGTTGCTATGCTAAATTTCATTGCAAAAGCTCAAAGGGTTCTCGAGATATCGTGTGGAAACGAAAGCGTTACAGACAGACAGAAAGACGGACGGACGGACGGACGGACGGACAAACCCAAATTAATATCCCTACTTTTCAATCGGGGGACAAAAACATTGGGCCTATCCTGGTTCACTTAGCCTTTACAATAGTATTTTAAGAATGCAGAGAGCCTGTGCCAGGTCCATCTTTCAACATACCGGCATAACGTTATCTACCTGGATCTATTATTATAAGTTGTCGACAAATATTCACAAGAAAGTTATTAAATCTATCTGGTTTTTTTTTAAAAAAAAAGAAGACGAAAATATAAACTTACAGAAAATATGCAGTCGAAAACATGCTGCTCTTTCTTGTCTGCTTTCTCAGCTGCATGATGACGTAATATGTGACGTACGGCTTTCCATAATAAAACTACCTTTGACCGTGACATGGAAATAGATTTCCAAGATAAAAAAAATTGAATGACTAAAATTATAGTTGTAACGTATTGCCCGATTATGTGACGAATTCGAAACCGACTAGTCGAATAAGCCAGGTTCTACTTGCACTTCCTGTTACAGGGGAAAAAAAGAGTCAGCAAAGGAACCCTCAGGTGGCTTGTTCCAGACTTTTCTTTTGGCTGATTGCGTTCTAATTCTTGAAACAAAGGTAAAAATGAAAGCTTTTCAAATCGTTTGCCATATTTTGTGTTTGTAAAGCACTTATTTATTGATATTCAATTTGTAACGAAAATTTTCAGAGTAAAATTGGATATTGCTTTTAATTTAAGTTCTACATGTACGTAACACGGTAAGTTTAATTGTTTCATTTCGTAAGACATACCTAAGTACATGTAATAATTACTTTATCTTTCAATCGAATTGAAAAATTAGAAATGTTCATGACTCTAGGACTTTAACGAATTTAGGACCTCCGACGATAAATAATATTTCTTAATACATTCACCTACATATCTCAAATGTAATGTATGCATAATGATGCAATGAATGTAGATCCTTCCATTTATCGTTAATGTATATACACTTAATATATTTTACATTTTTTTACGTATTCCATACATTACAGGGTTTGACATTAAGCTTTTGGAATACTAGACCAGTCGGGCTAATTTGGCCAATTTTTACCAGCCCTGACCCTTTAACCACTAGCCCTGACCAAACTTGAGAAAAAAAATATCTAAAGAAAAAATAGTTATATTTTTTTTTTCTGTACAGGTGCTGAGAATCTGTATTTTAATTAAATAACATTTTCCCGCACACATGTCATATCAAGTCGAAACTAGGTCATATACATGTGGCTTGTCATGTTTAATCCTAATTTAATTAACTTGTATACAATATTAAAATTGATACCATTAAAAATATTCAGAAAATCTACGTACAGTAAAAAATTATTTTTGTTTATTGGTATTTATACATGGATTACCGATGTTCTAAATGTGAATCTTTTGACATTGACAATCGTAACTACTCGGCCATTTCCTTGAACGATCTACATGTAAAGCTTATTGTTTCTCTCTAGGGAAATGAGTTAATGGCTGAGTAGTTATGAATGCCGACAATGGCTTCAGTCATGCTGTGTGTTACGTATGTAGTTTTCTTTCTACTACCGGTATGCGGTTAAAATGCTTAAATTCTATTTTTTCATTGACAATAAATGATTTGTTTACAAAAATATAAAAAGTTCATTTATTTTTCTTACACGACCAGTCGGTCTAGTACATAGACATTTTACCCGACCGGACCCATCTTTTACTAGACTCAGTCGGTCGGACGTGCCTTAATGTCAAACCCTGCATTATAATAAAAGATTGATTCATCAAAAGTACCTTTTTAATTGACAATTCATATTGGCTGCCAACAAATTCAAGATTAGTTAACATGGCAGATAAATTCAAGATTTGATGTTGACAAATACGACAACTAACCGACTGTTCTGATATTTTTTAAAGAACTAATTTCTAAAATAACAACATGAAAATGCAATTATGATCAGATAAGGTTAGTTATATTAACAGAACAGCCATTTGTTAATGATTTGAGTTAAAATCAATGCAGGAGTGAATCACTCCTACACAAGCACCATTATGAATATTTTAAGTTGCCCCCCCCCCCTTTATTTAAAAAAGAAATGAAAAGGATACATTATTGCAGCTTGTGCGCAGGATGTTTATTATAAAATTAAAACACACGCTTGCAATGTAGTGTAATGCTAAGATTACACTTCAAATCTTTGAACCACTTTAAAAGAGCTTCGCGCAGCTTCTTTGTCATGATGCACTCCACTCTATACCATATTCTGAGTAAAAAAAAATTAAGAATAGTAATATGAGAAGGATGTGGAGATAACGAACAGCATTCAATACCAAAGTCCATCAAACAATACAAAATAGAAGCAGAGCAAACACGGACCTCTAAAACATCAGAGGCGGGATCAGATGCCACGGAGGAGTGAGCATCCCCTGCTGACCGGTCACACCCACCGTGTAGGATAAATATATATAGCTCTAAAGCTTGTTACTATCGACGTCAGAATTTAAGGAAATAGTTGCCTGACGTCACGGCGTCAGGCTGTATAAGGATTGACAATTGCTTGATCCGAAACTAATAGATAATACCCAGAGAGCTAGATTTTGTGCAAGCTGATTTACATTGGAAATCTTTTACCTGCATTTTAAAAGAAACTTTTTTTCTGGGAAACAATGGTTTTACTGATGCAAAATAATGCAGTATTTACTTTGTTTACTCTGTTTGCATGAAACAGATTATTCCATGTGATTTACCGTTTCAACGTGTCCGTGTATCTTTTTTCCCGCATTTCTATACTACTTGATCAGTCCACTTATGTTCTACAAAAGGGGTGAATCGCTCTTTTCGCGCCA